TATTTTACAAACTTCCTTAAATTATCGTTTTCAAGCTCAATGAGCTCATTTTAAATTGAAAAAAAAAATAATTCGCTTCCTATAAATGCCTGAGATCACTTCCAATGCCTTCAGCAAGTTCACTATAGTCCCTAGAATATTTTTACTCCAAAAAATCCATCCACCAGGTACTGATTAAAACGATCAACTTAATTGAAAAGGCTTTGAAGAATAAATCTATTGAAAAGCTGGCATAATTGAAAAAGTGAATAGTAACGAGCTTGATGAAAACGAAATCTCAACTTTTTAAACTTCCATAATACACGATGGAATCCGGTGAAAAAAATTATCATGTTGTTAAGCATGTCAAGAGCCACGTGCCGTTAAACGACACGCGGTTGTAGCACACTCGATCCACAATTCTATGGTACACTGATCGTTAAATATGCATATACATATATAGATCTCGCGGCAGGACGACGCATGCGAGAGTTAACCGCGAGGGTTAACTCTATACTTAGCATAATTTTACGAATCGCACATAATCAAGAGACCCAGGTTCAGAAATACCGGCATTTGTTTCGTGTATATAACGCCCATCAATGCATTGGTGAATATTAGCATAAGATTTTGAAAATAGTAAGATACTAAATGCAGCCACGTGGCACGAGGATTCGTTGCGCAAGCGATCATGTGGAGAGGAAAAAAAGGAGATCATGGAGTGAGGAAAAATATGCATCAAAGGGTTCGCGATTCATTTCGTTTGATGCTTATACACCTATGGTTTGAATAATTTTTCATCTCGTTATAGCAGAAATTCAAAGGGGGTTGGATGTTTGTCATGAACGCGTGTCCTTGGGGAATGTGCAACGATCTCTATACTTATTTTCATTTTAAGTCGAAGGCAGTCGAACAAGTAGAGCAACAAGCGACGTTTTTTAAATTCAAATTTAAATTTCTTATAACGTGTGCTTAGGCTACACCCTAATAGTCAGACACGAGAATGAGGAAGAAAAGATGTATATACGCGAAATAGCATAAGGGGTTGCAAATTGACATAATGGATATACGAGGCGTGTGCCGTTATACTGGCCAAGTCAAGCATCACAGTTGTAACCAAAGAAATCGATTTTAAACGTCGAAAATATTCGGCTCGTGTACATCAAAAACCTAACACACACCTCGTCGTTTTCAAATTCAAATTTGCACTATCGTATGTAGATATATATTTTTCATGCTTCATCTGTACATAATATCACATAAGTGTAACTTGGAAAAAGGTTCTGGTGATATTGAAAGCTTCATCTATTTACATTTTAGACACGTTTTCCCTCCTTACATATTTGATGAGTAACCATTTCAAATTATTTTCCTCAAAATTTTTAAAATATCAATATAGCTTTTTACTTATTAAACAAACAATTAAATTAATAACTATCATTTGATCTAACTGGTGTTTGATGATTATTGAAACGTCTGCTAGAAAGAAGAATTAAAAAAAATGTTTAAGCAACCTTTCTAATTTCATTTTAATTATTGCTCATTGGACTTTCTACACTTATTGCTTAAATGTGTGTTAAAAAGAATTGCAAATGAATTATAAAATAAATTGTTAGTAAAAAAAAAGTGAAACAGAATGATTGCATTTTCTCCAATGTTAAGAGATCATTGTTAGCTGAGGGTAGTGAGGAAAAAATTTAATTACAAGCCATAAAAAAGTAGCATTTAAATAGGCCAGAATTACATAATGAATTAAAAGTGACAGGGAAGCCACATCATCATGACTTAAATACTTGTAAATTTTTTTAATGCATCCGCTGCTTAATTAAATTATTAGAATAGTAGTTAGACATGTAGCCTTGAGTTGGAATTTTTTTCTTTTTGAAAAATCAGCGAGAAATAATAGCAGCTTTTTTAGCAATAAGGTAGGTGGATGGCAGAAAAGTAGAAAACAGCTCGGGTGGCCTCTAAATGCACAAAGCCCAACCCAACAATGATTTTACAACGGTGATGCCTCAAGGAGTCTCGAGTGCGCATGAAAAATGACGATTCGCCAAGTCAAACCAACTACCGTCATTACGCCAGTTGAATATCGTGCCTCCGGCCTTCGTGGAACTTACTTAAGGATGAAACACGATGTCCCTCTACTTCTATCTCCCTCACTTTTCTCTTAGAGCTGTAATAACGTCGTGCAGCTACCAATTAACAACCACCAAGTTCCGCCTCTGGGATTCCTTAGATTCTCTTCTAAGAGAACCTACCGTGTTTCTCGTTCTATACAGTTGAGTAATTAACCACAATCATTCCTATTTTTTGTCATTTTTCCACTTAAAATATCAATAATGACTCTTCTCTTTTATAAACAAATTCACCAACATCTGCATTTTTATTTCAACATTTCTATTTAAATTCCATCACTGATGAATTAATTTATTTATCAATTATTTTCTTAGTTATAAATATTTATAATAAAATATTTGTAATTAATTAATTGATATCACTAAAGTATAAATAAATTCTTCCATCAGTTTGTCAAATTTTATTCCAGTAATTTCAGTCAGTAAAAAATAAACGTGTGTAAAAATTTTGGCAAGGATATGAGGGATAGGAAGTGTATGTGTTTTTTCTATATATAAAATGACAAATCAAAAAATAATGTTTCGATAGTATAGCTTTATTTAGACTAGAACGGAAAAATAATAATAATATAAAGATAATAATAATAATCGTTTAATAATAAGAGCAATAATAATAGCAATAATAATAATAGCAATAATAATAATGATAATCACATAAAATAATAATAATAAACTATGTACAGAAGAATAATAATAATAGAACCGACAAACATAACATTGTATTGTAGGTGTTCTCTCTGTCACAAGACTTGAGAAGATGATTTATGAATGTGTACTTATATCAGTACTTTTTAAGAAAAGTCAAGAGATTCGCTGTCACACCCTTAGCAGTTTTTTTATTTTGCAATAATTTGATAAAATCAAGGTCATGATAGTCAAAACAAAGCATAAAATGGAGGAATGAGATTTAAATTAAAATAAGTAATTAAAGAAAATAATCTTAGTTTTTAATTATCTCTAGATCCTGCTAAGAGTATGACGATTGTGTAAAGAAATTTATAAATAATTAAAGTAAAAAACAATTTTTATGACCATGTTGTAGTGATTAACTAGTGATGTTGATGGGTAAGAGATGAAAAAAATGAGAGAAAAAATTTATTTTTATAAAGTCTTTAATGTTTTCAGTAATAAATTAATTTTAAAAAAATTGTTTGTTTTTTATACTTAATAAAAAAAATACATTGTTTCTTAACAGTCGTCATCGAGGAATTAAAATAAAAAAGTATTCAATAAAACATTAATTGCATAGCTATTGGTATGTTAAAAACGAATTTTTTCTCTCAATCACACGAGAAATATTTCCATATTGTCATATAATACGTTAGAAAGTACACGCGCGCGCACATTCTCTTGTTTCCAGAATAGCCACCCCCATGGGCGTACTGGAGTCTGTTTGAACTAAGAGAAGAAGGGGGTGTACATGAACAACTGTATGTGTGATCGAGTAGGGACAAAATGGAGACCAATCGAATGAAACTAATCATGAAATAGAGATGAGAATAGGATTTGTTCTTCAACCCTTATTCTCATGACGTATTATATATAAATGTCTATAATATAATTCTATTATTATATATAACGCTAAGAGAGGTATTTACAAATGAGCGACTGAATTAAATGATACGATGATATGAAGAATAAGAAAATAAAAAAGAATAATGAGTTTAAAAGAAACATGTAATTATCTTGGAATGAATAGAAATAATGAAAAGATCTTGTGACAGTTGATATTAAAAGAGAAAATTTTGCTACTTAAAAGTAAACGACAATCTAGTCCGTTCTTATTGAATATTTCCGGTTATTATTATTGATTACTTTCTTCGCTATACTATATGTATAATAAAGTGTATGTTAAATGACGTAACACACGATTTAATGATATTTGAACGCATTTAATTGGTGGCTAAATACAGAGATCCACCCATTATCTTAATACCAATTTTATGATAATATTAATAATAATAATATTTATTATTTTATAATAATAATAATATAATAAAAATCCATTCTAATTACATTTTAATATAGTCTTTACTGTACAGCAATTTTGCAAACAAATAAATGTCTAAGCTCTACTCGGCAGCAATGAGCAAACCTTCAAAATGCGAAGGTATTTAAAGAGATTAACTCTTTTTTATTTCTTTTTAATTAAATTATTATTTATTTATTAATGTGTTTATTTATAATTTTAATCATCTAATTAATTAATTTATTTTCATATTAGTGGATTCTTTTATTTCCATGTCCAGAAACTTCCCACAATTTTTTTTTGTTCCCCAATATTATTTTCATTTGGAACTCTTTTAATATATTGCCTATAATTTTTTTTTTATAGCTCTGGATATATTATTATTCATATTCATACTACATAAAGTTATTAACTTCAATCTGCATTTTCTTTTTGCTATTAATAAACGTGCAACTATCATGGGCCTTTTTGATTATCACAGAGACCCAGCCAAATCATCGGTACTATTTATTGTATTTTCATTAACTGATTAATTCATTAATTTAACATATAAATATATATATATATATATAATTTACGATTTAACGTGCACGATCAGACGAACATTGAGACAATTAAACCATGCGCACGCTCGTAATTTTATTTCTCAGTCAACTTTCTTTTTAAGTAAAAGAAATATATTTTATTTAGTCCCTTTTTTTGTTACTTTCAATGATTTTCATTTCTTTCTCCTAGTAAGAATGATTTGTTAATTAGCACGGATGTCAACAATAGCCGTGAGAATGAATATAATTTTTAATTCCGACATAATGCAAACATAATCGTGACGATCGTGCAGAATAATCGATTATCGAGGCGTGCGCAAGGCATTTGGACGACGTTTTACGAATCTAAGAGGTCAGCCAGACACTCACCGGGGGTGGTGGTAGCCGTAGAGGCACCAGCGCTGGTTGGATGTTGCTGTTGTTGTTGAAACATTGCAGTTGGATGTAAAAACAGTGATCCATACATCATGCTTTCATCTGATTGTTGTTGCTGCTGTTGATTAGTGGTCTGATTAGCGCCTGACACGGCATTAGATCCGCTGCTGTTGGATAAGATCGGCGCACCAGGAGTAGGAGGTACTAAGCTACCCTCTTCCACTGCAACACGCACTGATTCAATGTGTCTGCGCGAAAAGACATGCTCTTGCAGTGGAGATTTTGGAGAATAGCGTACGGAGCACAGACGACATTCATCAGGACCTGTTGGTCCACGATGTGGTTGGACACTGGAACCTTCTGCTGGAAGACCAGCTGCTAATCTCGCCTTTTTCTCCTTAGCACGTGCATTCTGAAACCATACCTGCAACCGGTTCTCCATTAGCCATCAATAATCGTTTATGCAAAGATGCTGTTAATGTTCTTCACTCATTGAGCTGATGCTCACCTGGACCACGCGCTTTGGAAGTCCAATCTCTCGTCCAAGCATCTCACACTCAGCCATCGTCGGAGTTTTATAATCCGAAAATAAAGACTTCATCACTTTCACCTGGGTCGCTGACATCTGCGTTCTGTATCGCTTTCCAGCTGATTGATTCCCACTGGCAGTATTTGTGCTACTCGAGCCTCCAGTGCCCGTTGCTGGAGTTCCTATTCCACTTGGTGTTGTTGTGGTACCATGTCTCGAGCTCTGAGTACTCGAAGCAGGACTTGCAGGTCCACTTTCGTCGTCTAAGAACTCGGTTGTCTCACTAAGACTGTCATCATCACACATACTTCGCTCGGAAAGGTCTGTTAGAGGTCCACAGTCACTTCCGCTACGAAAAAGAGCTGAATTTTGATGGTGTTGTTGTTGTTGCTGTTGCTCTTCAAGAAGACTGCTTAGACCGCCTAAATTTAATTTTATTGGTCTACTGAGATCAACTGGTTTACTGAGATCTAAAGGAGATTCTCCAGCATTTCCAGAACCCTGTCCTGCCTCCTGTTTACCATTACTTGTGTGTGCTTGTAGTTCGCTGATGTATCTTTTCATGGACTCTTCGTAGTATTTTTTTAGCGAAGCCTCCATTTCACTGTTGAACGAAGGAAATAGTGGTGGGATCATGTTTGGAGTACTCGGATTTGACGGCGCTGATTCCATGGACAGCTCTTCATCTGGAATATTGTCTATATTAACCTCACCTCTAGCTACTTGATCAGCATGTTTGCTACTCAAGTGAGACTCTAGAGCAGATTTGACTTTAAATAGAGCTGGACAAAATGGACAACGTTTATTGATAACTTGACTGTGAGCACGAAACTGACCTTTACGTTCCCTTGCTCTGGTATTTTGAAACCAGACTTGAACTACACGTTTTTTTAATCCAACTTCTCTTGCAATAGTTTCCAGCATTTTTCTTGAAGGATTGGACTCGATCTGGTATTTCTGATATAAATAATCTAACTGCTCTGGAAGTATTGTCGTGCGCAGTCGCTTATCTTTTGGCTGTTCACTGTGCTCTGAATTACTCCGACTCTCACCACCAATGGCATCTTCGAAGTCTTCAAATTTTCGTTTACGATCTTGCATCATAGCGATGAGAGGATGTGGAGCATCACTGGAGACACCTCCAGAACTTGCGTTAAGTGCTTGTTGTTGAAGAATACCAAACGGAGAGTCTGGAGGGTAAGCTGGCGGAAAGAGGGACGGGTTCATGATATGTACCAGTTGATGCTCACGCCAGAGTTCAAATCGACTGAACATGAGGTTGCACTTGTCACATTGAAAATTTTCCTCTTTTACTTCAGCTTGTTGTTGTTGAGAAGATTGGGATGCTTGTTGAGATAAATTTTGTTGCTGGACATGAGGAGGAGTGGGAGTATTGAGAGGCTGTTGAAGTTGCTCGCTCAGATTAGAAACATTTGGTGGATTATTTGGCACTGCATTAGTCGTAGTTGTTGAACTGCTATTGCTATCTTCTGAACTGAGAACAGCAGCAACTTGAGCGGCTGCTGCTTGAGCTTGTGCACTTCTTTTAGCATCTTCTTCTTTGAAACAATGAGTTTTTTGATGACGAATAAGCTCGTAATATCGTTGGAACACAAGCAAACACTTTTTACACTGATAATTTAACCCTGGAGTTCTTTGAAATCGACCTGAACCATCATCATTTTCCCGACCCCCTGGAGTCACTGGCTCTGCTGCTGGTTGATTTTCGTAAACCTTACGAGCTTTTTGACGTGCATTCTGGAACCAAACGACAATTACTCGCGGACTCAAGCCTAAAAGTTTACTCAAATATTCTAGATCATCGTCTTTTGGGTAAGCATTATTTTCAAAAAATTCTTGAAGGACTTTTATTTGATAATCAGTAAATCTAGTACGATTTGCGCGCTTCCCAGAGCTAGAGCTTGAAGAATTACTGCCATTACTGTTTCCGCCAAAAGAAAAATCAGTTGGGCCACGTCCTGGGCTGATGGATCGTTGTGGGGTCAATGCCATCGCAGTTATTGGACTTGGAACGACATTTCCACCTACAGAATTAGGACTGGCAAAGTTCTGAGGAGCTAGTTTTGGAGGTAACATTGGTGTAGATGGGGTGTTTGATGTTGTTGATGGCACATGAGACGAAATATCATGATGAAGACCAGAAAATACAGAACTCATACTTAGAGCAGGAGAGTGAGGCCGTGATTGTTGGTCTCCAGAGCTTCCTGGAGAGAGGTGTTGAGTATCATCTACTTGTTGTTGCTGTGATTGCTGGAGCGATGAGTTTGATGGTTCAGGCACTTCTTGTTTAATTTCAGTTATCGTATTCATAGTATTTGTGATTGGAGTATTGCTTGCGGATACTGGTGGCGGAGTTGATTGTTTGTTTGGACTTTTATCATCGGAAGAACTGCCACCAGACGTACTAGAGTTTAAAGGAGTTACTTTAGCTTCACCAGTCTTCTCATACTCTTCTAAATTTAACGTAGTACATGGTGGATTATTAAAATTGTATGGACTATCTTTATTACGTTGACGTTCTTTGAAAAGTGTGTTTCTAAACCAGTGCTTTATTACTTTTGGTTGAAGACCACTTTGTGCTGCCATTTCCATTATTAGCTCATCGCCAGGGGAATTGTTTATGTCGAAATTCGCTCGTAAAATTTTCAGCTGTTCGTCGGTGATTCGAGTTCGTGCGCGTTTCTGCGATACTGCTGCGTTTGCCTGTGTATGAATTCAAATTTATTCAGTTATTAGCATTCAATAATTTGTTATGATAATCGTTATAAAAAATTTTATATTATTTATTATTATCAAAAATTTCTAATGAAACACGACTTTATGAAACATGAAGAATTTAACGTTTAAAAATTTAAATAAATTTAAGAATTAAATTCAATGAAAAATACTTTATGAAGAGCTTAAGTAACATTTTTTATTAGTAGAAAAGAATTTTTTACGACTAATATCAAATAAATATTTTTTAAAATTGACCAAAAGAATAAGTAAAAATATGAAAAATAGACTCACCGCCGCTGCTTGCTGTTGCTGTAAAGCGAGATGTTGTTTAGCAATAAGATCGGCTTGAGCTGTGATTGGTGGATAAGTCGCAGAAGCGCCATCATACGGTGGAGGTGGAAGCATCATAGGTACGAGCGGAGGCTGAAGATTCATGGCAGCAAGAGCAGGTACATTGAGGCCCAAAGGAAGACCCATCATTCCCATCATCAAACCAGGATATTGTTGTAGTTGTTGTTGGATTTGCGAAGCAGCCACGGCATTAAAAGCTGCTTGTATTTCTGTCATTTGGTGTGCAAGTGTCATCTGATGTTGCTGATGTTGCTGTTGTTGTGACTGTGACATATGATGTTGAGGATTAGTTGGAGCTGTTGGTGTTGTTGAGTCTGTGCTAGAGACTGGAGTATTGCTCAGCACTGGAGTCGTTATTGGTGTTGTTGAAGTAGCTTCTGGAGTACGACTGACTCTTTCTTTACTTTCTGGAGATTCTTCTTTTTCTTTATCTCTTCTCTCTTTATCAGAACTTAAATCTTGTGGCTGATTAGATGCCGGGGTTGAACTTCTAGGCGCAGTCGTCGTTGAAGAAGACGTTGCAGCTGTGACAACAACACTTTTCTTCTCATATTCACACTTAAACTGCTGAGCATATTTCTCCAAAAATTCTCTTGGTACCAGGTCACGATGCACCTCTTCACAGTGAGCTTTAAGCACCCACACACTGCTAAACTCTTTATTGCAATGCTGACAAGTACTTTTTGTCAACTCAGGAATAACTTCTTCCTCACTAGGCTCTTCAACCTCGAGATCTTCTCTTTCTTGAGCTTGTTGAGCAGCAAGAGCTTGCTTCTGTTGTTCTTGTTTCGCTTGCTCTTGCTGAGCCTGTAGCGCTGCTGCTACTTCCTCTTCCTTCTTTCTTCGTTGATGATTTTCATTAAACTGCATCACAAGATCGAACCCGAAGCTTTCAAGTAAATGTTTATACATTTGAGAAGTCTTATGTCTTGGTTGGGAAAGAATGTCCTGGGCAACTTGATTAGTTGTCTGCGAGGCAGCTTGTGCAAGTTGTTGCTGAGGACCAGGAGTAGTGGACATTGGCGGTTGAGTATTGTCAGAAGTAGAAGATGCCATTTGTTGAGAGGCAGCTAACTGTTGGAATAGCGCCAAAGGATTACTAAAAATGCAATAAAGTTGCTGATGAGTAGATAACTGATCTTGATTAACAAATAGGGCGCTGCAGCGTGGGCAAGAGAGCATATTATTGCTATTACCACTATTATTATTGTTACTATTATTACTACTATTATTATTATTGTTATTATTGTTGCTGTTGTTAGTGTTGTTGCTACTTCCAGTGTTGTTTGCATTACAGGGTGGACTTGACGGACTAGTTGCTGGTGGTGGATGTTCAATTAGAGGTTTACCTACATCTACTTGACCACTTGCAGCAAGGTCAAAAAGCTTACTAGCTCGTGTTTGATGTAGAACACTTCGCATATGTATATCTAACGTACTTCCTTGGCTGTAAGCAACCTTGCAAATGTTACATTTAAAAGGTTTCTTATCCTGATCTTGCTGGGAATCAGGAGATTCGGTGGGACTTGCCGGTGGCATGACTGAAATAAGAGTATTATTATTGCCTTGCTCTTGCATTGCTCTCTTTAATTTATGCAGATGACTAACGCTATTGTAATGCACGAGAAGAATATTTTTTTGCGTAAAACTTTCTTTGCACACGTCACACTTAAATGGTCTATTTGGATCGAGGTATTTCTCCATCGGGTAAGTCATTTTTTCACCCTTCCGATGAAGTAAAGTCTTATTATGTCCTGTGAGGTAGCTCTGACGTGTAAATGCGACTTTGCAACGATGGCACTTGAATTTACGATTTGAATCTTGATACGATTCTTCGGCCATTGGTTGACTATTCAAATAGTCTTCCCATAATCTTTGTTCTTTATGAAGGGGTGAAGAATCACTAGTATCACTTTCTTCCTCTTCATTTCTAGCTTCTTCATCAGCATTTTGTTCATTGGAAAGATTTGCTTGACGTCTCAATGCCTCTTCCGTTAATGCTTGGAGTATTGGATGAGCATGTAATAAACTGTGCTTGTTTTGAGTTAACTCTTCATCCTGTGCGTCTGCGTGAGCTGTTTCCCAATGTCGTTGTAGTGCTTGAACTGATCGAAAGGATCGCGCACAAAGTGCACATTTAGTAGCATCTCGTATTGCATGATATTGTGAATGTTGTTGTAATTTTTCAAGAGTTTTAAACGCTAAACTACACTGACCACATCGATATTTATACACATGTTTTTCACTAACAGCTAAAGTTGGCGTTGATGCAGGATGAGATTCTCTATGATGTTGTTGAAGTTCCTCCAAAGACCGACAAACTCTTCCGCAAAGCGTACACCTGGTAATCTCTTCAATTTCTTCAACACTTCGTTCACTTTCTTCGTCTTGATTTTGTTTCGTGGTGCTTGGAGATGTTGGTGTAGCCACTGGCGTCAGAGAGTTTCGAGGATTATTATTTAACCAGTGGCTTTGATCTACAAGAAGAAGAAGCCTTTGAAGCCCGTCAGAATTAACTGAGTGAATTTGCATAACGTGTTTTTCTAATGCAGCTCGTTCTTTAAAACTGTCTTGACATAAAGGACAGAGAAAGTCTTGCGCTGGCTCTTCTTTAACCATCTCCATTTTTTCATCTGAGTCTTGGGTATGAGCTATCTGAATATGGTGTTTCAATTCTTCTTTCGATGTCGGTTGATACGTGCAATAAGGACACGCGATTTCATCTGATTCGATTTCAGCCTCTTGGTCTTGTTCCTGATCGTTATCTGGCTCTTGTTTCACTTCACTTCCGCAATCACTGCCTACCTCTCGTCGATCTGCAACCCAAAAGACAACAATATACATTATCATACTATTCATTACCATTCCTTATAAATATTATTAAACAAAATTCAAACAAATATTATATAACTAATTATTATTAACTATGTACGTATTTTTATATCGTGTGAACTATTATTTATGAGAATAACAAAATGTGTTATAATGTCAATAATTATCAATTTATCACATATTCTGCATCTATAGTTAATTACTTTGTTTGCTGTCTATATAAAATTATTTCATAACACAAAACTATTCATCATTTCATAAAAGTTATTTATTACTTTTATTTAATGATTATTTTTTGCTCAACAAATCGATGAACTTTATGTAGTTACTCTCTAACTGTTATTTTATTTTTTTCTACTAATTTTTACATACATATAAATGTATGTAGAACCACCTATCATAAATAACGAACGTGGAAAAGCACGGCAAATGATAATAAACGGCAGTTTTCAATAATCGCTATACACGTTACGACAACTCCAGGGCATCGTGTCGTTAATGACGGAGTCAGAGATAACTGAGATTGTAATTTGTGATACTGATTAATCTACTGGGAATGAATAAATTTTATTACTTCTTTATTTTTTTTTTTATTTTAAAATTGTTTTCCTGTTTTAACTTTTTTTTTTTATCGTTTTTATTTTCACTTCAATTCAATAATATCTTTGTATACAAATAAAAATATATTATTTACAATAACTGTCATTTTTGTTATGTCAAATTCGTTATAATAATTTCTTCAAACATCATGCAAGGCTCGAGCCAACTGCCAATATTTAATTCTAGAGGTAAAGAAAAGAAAAAAAATAAAAATGTGTAATAAAATATCGAAGAAGGTAAGGGAGTATTAAAACTGATCAAGATCATCTTGGTTCAATTGTATTGATAACTTGTTATTCATTATAACGATTGGCACAAATGTAAAATAAAATAGTGAACATGCGTTGAAAAATGAAATGAAGAGGAAATAAACATCAGTGGATGATGAAAGGAACATATTGTCGAAATTTTCAAACGTCAGTTGTGAATAAGGCGCGTGCTCTTATTCTTTGGCCTGGTTTCCGCAGAATTTATATATATATATGACTATGTATAAATGCAATCTATATTTAATATATATTATATGAATCGGGTATAAAAAATATATGGTTCACAAAATAACACGCATGATATTGTGCGTGGTAACGGCACACGCCATCACCATATGGTGTAAAGACTAAATAACCATAATTGCAACTACAACTAATTGCGATGGTTATAATCGATGAGAGCAGAGTGAATTCATTAATTACAAGGTGGTGAATTTTCACTTTGTATTGTTATGAATTGGACGCGTTGACTTGTGGAGCGTCAGTTGTTCGCGGAAGACTTTTTTGATCATTGTGCTTGTCTTTAAATCCGGCTGATTGACCGCTACACGTGTTACTTATCATAACAATCGCGGTCACGTTATTGTAAAAGTTAATTACAGAGCGACTATAAATTTAATGTCTTTAATTTCACCCCAATAGACACACGCATATATAATACGTACAATGAAATTATGTGCATGCTCGTGTAAGTATGAGATCAAAAATAATAACAATGAAATAAAGAGAATTATAAAAAAATTGCTACTATTAGAATAAAAGAAGAATTTATGGGTAGTTATTATAATTTATTTTGATTTAATAATTTCTGTTATTTTATTCTGAGAATTATTATGAAATTATTATTATTATCAGTGGTAATAATTTAATTGTAATATTTTTTATAACAAAATTACTGCCAGTATTAACTTTGATCTCTTTTTTATTGAAAAGAGAATATTAATTAATGATAAAAATGCAATTTAAAAAATAGAAATTAAAGTTTAAATTATTCAGTCAAGGAAGAATTTTGATAAATATAAAATTATTGATAGATAATTAAAGCATTTGACTGAGAGAAAATGACTCAACTGATAATTGAACAAATAAATTATCCTCAAAGTGACGGTATCTTTACTATGATTAGAATAAGACTTTCTAAATAAATATAAATAATAATTGAACTCACCGTTGTGAATGTTTGAAGCATTAGGAGTCGTTGGAGTTGTAGGACTGGCTTGTTGAGTCGATGGTCCATCAGGATCAGCGACTACTTGAAACACATCACCAATATCAGTATGTGGTGTTTCATTACCTTGAATACCACTTCTTCGATGGAGCTGATGTAGTTGTTCCATTTGAAGATGCCTCAACGATCTGACATGTTGAAGAAGAGGTAACCGATGTTTTGCACTAAACCCACACAGAGCACAATGATAAAGTTTACCCGGAGATTGAATATTGACACTAGATTCTAGCAGATGACGAAGAAGAAGTGATGCTGCTTCGTGCCTTGGTGAAGATGCATGTAGGGCAAGCTTATGGGCACTATTCGTATAATAATCACAAGCATGGCAACGTAATTGTGCTGCACTTGTTGGTGATGCAAGATACTTGAGTTTCCACTCATTTCTTGGACCACCTTCTTTCACGTGATTGACATGGTGTAACCGTTGAAGATGTTTGTCAGTTTTACAATGTAATTGAAAGTTTGCTTTAAGATTAGTCTTATAGGAACACAGTTTACAGACAAAATTACCAGCAACAAGGGCAAGAATCTCTCCTTCACGCGTTTTCGATCGATCAGTCGCAAGGTGGTGGCCTAAGGCTTCAAGGGAATCAGTGCTGTAATTATTGCAAACACAGCAGTGATAAAGATGAGTTGGATCTGGATCTGCTGGTTCTGGAGGAGGTTCCATACTATCAGGAGACAAGCCAACATCACCACCGAGATTACTTATTGCAGTCATACTAGCCATACCACCCATAAGCTCAGGGGGAAGTTGCGGTGGTAATTGGCCGCCAGTCATCATCTGGATAAGAAGAGCTTGGTTATATGCCATATCTGCAAGCGCTGCTTCAGCATGTTGTGGCTTATCAAGACCACCAAGGTGTAATAATTGTTCTAGTTGTTGTTGCTGTTGTTGTTGTTGATGATGATGCTGCTGTTGAGCTTGTTGTTGATGATGAGATTGTAATGCTGATAACGTTTGCATGTGCTTGACATTTTGTTGGAGAACCAACATATTGTGCGTATGTTTTTCACTGGTCATGTGTATCCTGAGATTTCTCGCGACATTTGTTTCATAATTACAAACATCACAGCGAAATGTAGGTTTAGGTTTACCCTGCGTCACTGTTGGACCACTTAGATGAGGACTGTGATTTTGTTGATGATGAGGGCTCCTTGTTGGCATTGGTGACTCTTGCGATGACGAAGGATTACTCGTTCCTGATGCTCCACTGCCACCACCTTGTTGAAGTTCTTGCATATTATTTAAATGTTTATCACTCTGCATATGTATGCTGAGATTACCCTTAGTTGTCGTTGAATAATTACAAACTTCACATCTGTATGGCTTGTAACCACAAGTATAAGTTTCGCCTCGCGCTAACCTTGGATGTGGTTGACCTGCTATGCAATAAATACACGACGTTTCACTCTCTGGATGTTTTTCTTTCATATGAATTTCAAGAGTCTCTTGGTACTTGTAGTGCCAATTACACTTCGGACACTTGAGAGTTTTACACGAATTGCGGCTGTGAATTCCAGCCAATGGACCACCTGGTCCGGCAAGTCTAGAGCTTGCAAGAATAAGCTCACACTTACTACACTCAACACCACTTGGTCGTCCTTGCATATGTTCTGGACACACTCCAATAGTCGTACCGGTGAGAAAATTTGGCGGTTGTTGAGTAAGCGCCGCATAGGACGAAGGAGAACCTTTGGTTGATGATGGTGGTGGAGGTGGTGGTGATGTATAATGAACAGCATCAGGAGCTTTTGCCCATGACGCCGCACTCACTTGTCCACTGGTCCACGAATGTTGGGACTGATGATTAAAGCTTAAATTGCCAAGATGAGACGATGCCATTGTTGGTGTACTAGGAGATGGCCTTTGTTGTTGACTTTGAGGACTACTAGGGATTCCAGGTGTACTTGCTGGTGTACTCGTAGTAGTCGGCGTTTCTTGTTCATTAGCATCTTCACCTCGTTGCTGTTGTGTCTGCGACTGAGCAGGCCAATTTTGTGAACACGAAGAGCTTGTAACTGGCTCCAAAAAACTGACTAAGGGTTGTTTCCCCCGTCCCACAGCCTGAATAATAGCTGATGCAGTTGAATGTGATAACACTTGTCTCTCATCCTCCATCATCGTTAACTGATGCTCCCCTTGAGCATGAGCAACAAAGCTTTTAGCATAACCAAAACTTAGCTTACATATAAAACACATAAGAATTGGTTTAACTGGAACTGACGTTGATGGGGGTGGTGGTGGCACAGCCGATGCGCTTACTGGTTTTGTACCTTCCGCGCTTCTATAACTAATTACCCGATAGCTATGCATCACAGGTAGATCAGGATTATGCATTTGTGATGATCGTTGCGCTTGCTGTTGTTGCTGTTGCTGATAGGCTTGATGAGCATACAGCCTTGACACGTAGAAAGCGCTAGCGATTTGTGGAAAAACCAACGAGTGAGGCACAGAAACACCCCGACCATCAACGATACATCCATCAGGAAGAGATTCATCCTCACTTAATTCACTTTCTCCTTCGATGATGTAGGCCGATCCATCAGGATTATAGACAATTTTTCCGTCAAATTTCTCTACATCCCCACCAGGTGGACTTGGACTAGGACTTGGACCCTGTTTTTGCGCTGAGCCCGGTGACTGCATGTTTACGGTGGTTGTGGCTGTCGCACTGGCCGCAGATGTAGCAGTCGTATTGGTTCCAGCTGCTGAGGTGGTGGTGTTGGTGGTGGTTGTGGTATCAGCAGTAGGCGTTGGCGTTGGAATTGCATCTCGCGTACAGGGTTCTGTACCTGAAGGTGGACTAGCCGTTCGAGGATGATGGGGTTGTTGGAGGGCTGCTCCAGCCGTCGGAGGTGAACCACCACTACGGCCGCCCTCCTCCTCCGGGCTCATCTCTTGTTTCTGCTGCGTAAACGCGGAATTTTGGAAGTTAATGCCGTGCTGCTGCTGTTGTTGCTGGTGATGGGCCGCCACCAGCTGTTGATAGAGATGATGTTGCCCAAGTGCGCTCGTCGGCGACGACGAGTGCTGTTGCAGATGCGAGGGTGGAATCGTATGATGTTGAAGATGGTACTGAGGGGGATGGGGCTCACTGGAGGGCATCACCCCAAACGTGAGGCGACCGCCAGCCTCACATCACCAACGGCGCATGAGTCTACACGTACTTTTTTCGAACGCCCACTTTTTTTATCCACACACGACACTTGGGACACTTGAATTATCCCTGTTCTCCACTCTTGTTCCTCTTGTTCACCTATGGTAGAAGATTCACTAGCTACCTCTTCGTAAACCCAGGTCGTACCTGTAACATCCAAAAAAATCAATACATTAATTTTTTATTCATAAAATAAATTTTATCTATTTTTAACTTAATTTTATAAAAATATATCTACTAATTTATTATAATTCGTCAAAAAATTTTTTTCAATTCCATAAATTTCTTCAAATATTAAAAAATTAAATGAATTCATAATTCAAACTATTTACAAATTCAATAGAAAAAGATTTTTATTCAAAAATAATATCTATTAGCTTAGATCTTTCGATAATTCACAGACTAATATCTGACTGAAGATAACCCATTTTTCATACGTAAATTATATGATACCTCATTTTTTTTTTTCAACATTTGAAATATAAAGACAAGCCTGTTTCGGCATTTTTCGAAAGTATGTTGGATTTTTAATCATAAGCAAATAAAAAGAGGAAGATAAGGCTACTGAGAAAGACGAGGAAAAGCCATAAGATAGTAAAATACGCAGAATTGTAGCAAGCTGGGTATACAACACACTAGAACGCACAGTAAGGTCGAAAAGCAACGGTTGTTACTCACACAAAACCTATATATCTGAGAAGAAGTTGTCTCGATGACGAGCGGACAACACAAAGCCTGTTCTGTGTGTGCTAAGGTTATACCTGAATCGCGCATACATGTACCCAGCTGTGTTTGCGACCCATCGACCCGACTTATCTATATCGATTCTGTATCGATAGGTTCTTCCTTATTTGACCCTTGTGAGTATAAACGAGAATGAAAAAAAAATAAAAAAGAGAGTGAAAATATCTATACATGGAGCGATATACATAAGCACGGTTATAATAAGTCACCACAGCTCTCGTGAATGCTTCATAGATTTCTTTTCAGTTATGTTTCTAAAAGACGTTTTTAAAGATTTATTCAAACATATGAAAAGGTGGTAAAGTTTAGATCTTACTCCAAAATCATTGATTAATCGTGGGAAATTTAATAAATCAAAATGAAAAAAAAATTATTAACAATAAATATTCGTTGTCAATAATTGATTGTTTTATTAAAGCAAAATAAATGCTAATAAAAATAATGTGTAACAGTTTTTTTCGTCAGTTACACTGAAAGGATATTGAATGTGATATAATTGTTCCATTTCGATAATAATTTACATTTACACCATAAAGCCAACAAAAGAATCATATCCGGGTACTTGAATACATTTTAGGGGAACACAGAATCCAACGGTTTCTACCAAAACCAATCCTCCTAATAAACCAACCCAAACCATGATAAAATAGCAACAAAAAAAATTGATAAAATTAACAACATTTCGATAGAATAATTTTAAATGAAAAAAACTGATCAAAAAGCCGTTGTACCCCGGGGTGCCTTGAACGTAGCATGTTTAAATCTCGGTAAAATGAACAAATAATTGAAATGATGAGCATCATCATCAATAAAATCTACTCACTGCATCTGATTAATTTTCTCTGAATAAAAAGGTAAAAAATGATAGTTAATGTATGATGAAACATTGAACTTGAAAGTAGTAGAGTGTATGTGAAAAGAGAGAATATATTCCGTGGTATTCTCCGAAGCGAACGGTGTAAAAGTGCCGGGAGCGCCTGACCATTTTATAATTGCATCCCAATTACGTGAAATCAAGTCGAGGGATCATTTCTGAGGAGCGCGGGCTGAAGTATCCCTGGAATCTAACGGATCTGAGACTTGGATAAATAGATGTGTGAGTGTATTTCGCTTAGATCATGTACGTGTATGAGTCAAGCATCAGCATTTGTGTATATACACGTGGGGGTGTAGCGAACGCCGTGACGGCCTGAGGCTCTCTCATCTCGTAGATTCTCACTCTCTGTCTCTATTTTTCTGTATCTGTTCCTTCTCTTCCCTGTTACACTGGACGGTCATCATGCGACCATCGTTGGACCTATAATGGAATGTATATACGTGTACTGCATTATACTTGTCTCTTTTTCTCTTCTTTCATTCTCTCATACCTTCGCCACACTGGGTTTATAATTCCGCGTTACAAACTCCATAATCCAGTCACTGTGCATATATGTATATAGGTACTTCTGCTGCAATGTGCATCGCAAACCAGAAACCTTATTTATTCTATAATGCCAGCCACATTGCACGATCTTATACGGTCATTTTCCCAGATTATCACAATCACAGATATTGTTCACCATTTCTATAACAATGCAATTACTTGTTTACTGTATTCTAATTTTGGCTTATCACATTCTTACTATTTTAATAACCAACATCCTGTTCATAAATTTATTTCAACAAGCTTTTTAGTAGTTATTGGCATTTAGTTTATTTTATATTATAACTTGTATTTTAAAATTACACAATATCTATTTATTTTATTCAATGCTGATGAAAACAAAAAGATAAAAATAATTCAATAAAATAAATAAATTCTGCTTCTTTGATTGAATAATGTATTGTTAAATAATTAATTAACTCATTAATGTATTTATAAAAAATAAATTTAACATTTTTTTATTCCAATAATTTAAATTTATTGTTAAATTTAATTGTTTAATTTCAGACGTAACGAATTTTGATTTCCTTTCATTCAAAAACAAAAGGAAAAAAAAATAAGATACCCCAATTAAATGCTCCAAAATATAAAAAATTCTATTCTTTAGACAAAAAACATTTTTTCTAACTCCAGATGGTCTATTTGACCTGCTTTTTCCTATCTATTATTTCCAATAATAAATCCAATTGATAATTAAAATTAAAAATATGCTCCATTATGAGTAATTAAAATTGAATTGAATTTCTAAAGAAACTTCAAAAGACTTTTAAAGAATTTAATTATAGTTTTTTAGAAAATTTGTTCACAATTTTAAATATTCCCTGTCACGATTTTTTCCTAATAGCATCTGAGTACTTGAAAAAGGCCCTAAGTAGCTGAGGGAAAATACAAAAACACTAATTACAAAGGAAGAAAAAAGCGACAGACTATAATGATTTAAAAACTACTCAGAAAATTTCATCCTTCTTATGATTTCTTATATCCCCTCTCCCTCCCTTCTCGCGTTCATTCGACTTCTCTTCCTCTTTCTAAAAAATCTCGTTCGTCAAGTCGTCGAGAAGTTTTCGTTGAGACGAATGACGAAGCGCTTTCTTTGATGAAAAGCTGGTATAGCTCGCTGAGATTCAATACTTAAAGGTTAAATCTCAAGTTCTCTTAAAAAATTAGTGGCCTATTCGAGAACGGACTCTAGAGTCAATAATGAGAGATGGACATTTACATACAATTAATCCAAGCTGTATTATTAAAATATATTTATCCAACCCAAAAAAAATAATACGTTATAATTATAACTAATGAAAAAAAAAAAAATTAACGGAAATCATTTTGTATCAATTAGAATTCCTTCTCACTTATTTTCCCAATCGTTTTTCTTTTATATCTCCACTCTGTTGACACAAAAACCGTGACTGTCCCATGAAAGCCAACATTTGGGGGATCTAAAGCGACGGAAAACAAGGGTGACGGTGTTTTCAGTATCTTGTATGCTGTGACTGCGAGTTTAGGACGAAACATCTGCCAACCTGGCCATCACCTGGCTATCGTCTTTTTCTATTTTTCGTAATTTATCGGTTCAAAAAAAATACATAAAAAAATGCTACGGTTACACGGATGACAAAAAAAATAAGTAGCTTACTGATGATGGAAAATGAATAAAGTTAAAAAAGCAGATGAGCAAAGGATGGAATAATAATGATAAATGATAACTAGGTAGATGATTTATTACATTGCATTGTTAATTTTTAACAGAAATCAATTGATTCAATTAAATCATGGTCTTCAAAGATTGCAAGCGTTAAATTTACTGTCAATATCGAGAGGTTATTTTTAAATTCATGATACCCGTATGTACTAGAGCAGAAGTGTCTGGACAATCGTCTGATCAATCGATAAACTATAAGCCAAGACGGCGGTGTGCCTCTCGTGACGAGTAGAATGACTAGGAACTTTCGGTTGCCGTTCATTAAGCGTCTACACTATCGATTTAGTACCATAGACCCCTCAAGGATGAAGGGGGGACAACACTCGAGGTACCAACGACTCGCAACATTGCATCTACTGTTGGAAAAAAAATCTAAAAAAAATTCGAGGAGGACCACAGTAGGGTAGAGAAAAAGATAGAAAAAACAACGAGTCTTTTATCGATAATTTCGTGTCTGAAACGAAAATAAGAAATTCAGATTCGTGCGTTCAGGACTCAAGTCTTTCTCCCTAGGTAGCTAGAGGGGGGTAAAAAGGGATAGAAAGAAAATTTTATTTCTATCTTTTTTTATTCAACATCAAAGTATCTAAATAAGAAATTGTCTGGAATGGTCGTCATATTGTCGTCTTCGTCGTGGTTGTCTTTCCTTACCCAAGTGAGTTTGCGTGATGATGGACGTCAGTCTCTCACGATATCGAAATAAGAGCCAAAATAATCGATGAAACGGTGGTAGCAAATGGTGATGTGCTCTCATATTCATAATATGCATACATGTGTCACATGAAATATACGGAAAACACAAAATGTTCCATTTCGAGAGATGCGTCCGGTTTTGGTATTCTTTATTCTGGTGAAAGTTGCCGGAAAACACTCAAGGTTTCCAACAGACGGTTGACAGAGTTTTGAAGATTGCGGTGTGAATATAACGGAATTAGGGATATTTTAGGGGAGAGGTATGAGAATCAACTGTACCCGTACACTGAGGATGCGCTCTTTGTCAGTTGTCAATAACCGGAAACCAAATTGTAACTGTATTTTTTACAATATGTGCAATGATATGAGAAGAGAAGTGAGATGAAGAGGAAACAACATGTCCTCCAATATTATTCATTATTATTAAAATGAGCGAGAAGAATTATTTTTGAAGAATTCAGAGCTATAAAGGGAACAAAGTTTGATTTAACTGAAAAAAACTGTAATTACTGATTTAATAAACAAATTTTTACAATGAAAGATAATTTAATGTATTCCTTCATTCTGTCAGTATATTGCTAAAAT